TTTCAGAATACAACTGAATTAGCTGCCGTATTCATTTCTCCTTTGGTACAAGATATTAGATATTGATCAGTTTATGAGTTTATTAATGTCTCTCGTTGTAGGTTTCCTGAATGTGACAAGCTATCTCCACCAGTTTTACAACTCGATGAGGTATAGAGATAACTAGCCTTATTTTTTAAATTATTCTTTTGACATCTTTTTAGAAGGTCTGTACTGAGGTAAAAATTAATTTGTCACGTACAGTAAACACTTTATTTCCTTCGGACAGGTTACCTTCCACTATGAAAAAGGAAAAGTTGTTCTCAATAAAGTTAGTCTGTCTGCAAATCAAGACTCTAGAATTGCTTTGGTAAGTTAACAATCTTCTTACAATAAATTACCAGAGTTATAGTTTACGCTTGAACCTTATCAACTGTACATTGCCGAAAATTTAAAATTTGTGTCTTTCAGTGAAGTCTCGTTGGTTTTTCTATTAATTTTATAATTCGATCACACCTATTAACTCACAATAATGGGGGGAACCCCAGTTAGTTATATTTTCCTGTCACGGGCAAGATTGTTTTACATATGTTAAGTTACGTTGGTAACGCTTTAGTTACATTCCTTTCGTTGTAGGTCGGTGAAAATGGTCAGGGGAAAACAACACTACTAAAGCTTTTACTGGGTGAACTGGAACCAGTGTCCGGTCTAAAGTTTTCTCACAGGTAACAATTGGTTTAATTTGCGTTGTACATTTATAATGAATTCCACCACTCCAAAACATGTATGTTTATGGTTATTCAACCGGAGGACACAGTTGTTCTTTTGCACCTGGAACGTGTAGAAATCCAGACAACTTTTTTGACAAACTCCTTTATTTTTAATGTGGTACTAACGAGGGACTTTGTTATCACTTTGTAGAAATTTAAAGATTGGTTATTTCAGTCAACATCACGTGGATCAGCTCGGTTCAGAACAAACTCCGCTGGAATTAATAGCTTCAAAATTCCCAGGTACGTTTGGAAAAACGTAAATCAGATCAGTGCGTCTCATCTTGATAATGATATTACAAAATAAAAAATGTCCCGTGATCCAGTTTCAGAAGTGAACTGAAGGAGGTTAAACAGGGTTAGTGTCACGCCAATGATTGCTTGTACACCCCATATAAACCTTGAGCTGTAAGTCATTCAACTTTCTCTTAAAGGACACCACTATGAATCGTACAGGTAGTGTTGTTCCTTGCTGTTCTCCGGTCATTTTCTCTGTACAGCAGAACCTATTTAAGACGAACTCTAAATGCCAGCCCCACCCTTGTCCACCTGAAATAAGTGTATAGATAGATCTGTTGTTGTCTTTGAAATTGCGTTTCAACTCAAAGAAACCTTGTGTGGGCACGGTAAATGCTGTATTGTATTGTATTGCCTCTCTTGCCAATATGAAATTTTTAAAAATATGTATTTAACCGCAGGACAGCACGAGGAGGAATATCGGCGCCAGCTGGGCAGATATGGAGTAATAAATGACTTGGCTCTTAGACCTGTAAGGAGTTTATCAGGTGGTCAGAAAAGTCGAGTGGTTATGGCTTTGATGAGTATGATAAGGTACACTGACTCCAGGGATACTTCTTAAAGTACTAAATAGAACGAGAACGTTCACGTGGTTGTAAATTTAGCTATTGCTTTGGTATATCAATGTTACTGGGTAGATATGTAGACTTCTGTTGAAGACAAAGGTAGTACCTTTAGTTCTCAGTTACTGTAAGACGCTGAGTATTGGTCCCGTCCCAGGACTCGAACCCGTGACTCCCGCTCTGCAGTCAATCGCTCTAATGACTGAGTTAGTCTTGCTGCGGTAAAAACCTCAAAACAGGTTTTATTGTTTTTTTCCTTGTTATAAAACTATTATTATCTATTTATTTTTTGCTTGATTCATTCCCATTCTTGGTTCTTATCTGAGATATTTGTTATTTTATTTTCTTAGGCCTCATTTTCTCATCCTTGATGAACCGACAAATCATTTAGATGTAGAGACAATAGAAGCTCTTGGAATCGCTTTAAACAATTATAAGGTAATTATTGTTATTGCACAGGGATCATGAATCAAGGAGGCTCCCGTGTACGTCCCTCCGTGTACCCCAGATATCAGACTTCTCCATTATCGATACAAACCTTGTATAATTATAGGTGCACCAATTGAGTCAAATCATAGATTTCGCCTTGTCGTGGCTGTCGTTATTATTATTTTTTTCTACCTATAACGCCTTTCTTTTCTGTGACAGATATTAGAGATTATGGGCTCGTTTATCGTTTATTTCACGATAATCACTTTTTTTATTGCCGGATCGCAACGTTTCGACAGCGTACTGCTGGTGTTTGTTACTGAGCAGGACTAATAGCAACATTATATTAGAGACTGTCTAAATTGTGATATCTGAGGCGTCGAGTAAGAGGTTGAAAAAGGTGTCACCACTTTTCATTGTTTTGTAGGGTGGAGTTATTATGGTAACACACGATGAACGACTTGTAAGAAGCGTGTGTAAAGAAGTTTGGATGTGTTCTAATGGCTCAGTCATAAGACAGGATGGCGGATTCGATCAATACAGAAAATTACTGGAAGATCAGATCAGAGAATTGTGACCTTCAAGTTACTGACAATATATTCTAGATTTTAATCAAATTGTAAAAAAATGCTATCATGTAATGCTGCTCGTAAAAGTATTTAAGCTAAGTGGTGGTTGCCTCGGTAATCTTTTAACGGTATTGTTAGTTGCCAAGTTATCCAGGCCCGTGAGCCACCGATGCAGGGTTCAAAGCAGGGCCCGCGCAGGGGGCGAATCAGACAAACTCGTTCCTAGGGTTCTCTCCTCTTTCGCTCGGCGAGACGAGTATTGTTAACGAAAGTTATTGAGCATAAAGCCGTGTTTTCGTGAAAGAAAATTAAGTAAATGAACAAATTATTTTCTCCTGGTGAAATATTTTCACTCTTTCTCAGAAAAGACAGACAAAGTTGAACGTAGAGAGTCTTTTTCTAGTACCTTCAAAGCCCCCTTTGGTTTTACTCTTTTCACAGCAGTGCTCGGCGTGTGCGGCGAGCCCCATGCTCATAGAGAATGGTTAAATACTCCTGTTAAAAAAACTTTATTTACAAATCAAAGAGGAGAGGGAGATAATCTGCACCGACAAACAATAAATATGCAACTTTATTTAAGCATCGAAATACTTCTAAGCAATAAATATACCGACGTGTTTTCGCATTTTACTGAAATCCAACATACTGCCTCACAAAACAGTGATAATATTGATGTTACAACGCGAGGAGGTTTTTATTCAATTTTTGTAAATATAAATACTCAATTAATCTATGATCTTTCCCTAAAAACGTTTTGATTCGTCTATATAACTGTTGTTTACTTTCTACAGTTACGCTACATTGAGTAACTTCTAAATTGCTTGCAAGGAATTAACAATAGAGAGGTTAAGCATCACGTTTACGTCAAACAGCAAACGCGAATTTGTTCCACGTGACCAAGTTTCCCCATTACTTGTTGTTTACGGTTCATTATTTATACACATAAATTATTTTTTATCCATAAGAATTGCTTTGAGCTGTTTTTATCTGCTCGTTTTCTATTTTGAGAAATTCTCAACTTGAACCTGACGTTTGCCTTATACGTGACGCTTAAACTCTCTAATAAATAGCTCTATCATCCCTGGTGACTAACTTTAGCAAAAGTATCAAAGATTAAACTCTAGCACCAAGAGAGAATAATAGGAGTAAGATGGAAAAGCCCTGCAGTCTATTGAGCCCTTGGGCGCCCCCTATGTGAATTTCACCCAAAGTTATTTTTAGACCAATTAAACGCTTGAATTAATCGGAAGTTGGTTTCATTATTTTCTCTTGCTAGAACCTAGAGCTTTCTAAAAATATAAGGTATTGATGAATACCCTAGAAAATGTGATGAAAAATCTTAACTCTAAGTAGGGATTTCGTATCCGCTTTCTAGTATTTATTAAGAGCTTACCATAACTCTGTCTGTGCATCCTTAAAAAGTCTCGAATATTCCTACCTAAAAATATGCTTTGCACAGTGGTGTAATCATAATTATTTCAATAACATATTGAGCGTTATACCTGAATTGTAGCTAAAACCTATTTATTGACTTTTTTTTGACTTAGTAGCTACGATTTGAAAAATACAATAGTGTATGCGTCCTCACTGAACGATACGCCCCATTACGTCACAAATCACGCAAACAAACCATTAACCGTTGTGCCTTCAATGGGCCATTTGCACGATGGCGTCATTTTACTACGACCAGATTCCTTTTCGTTTTTCCTTTCATATTTAAATTTGGTAATCCCGGCGAGGTTTAAATAACAAAAGCAAAAGCCTGAAGGATTCTGGTCTTAGTAGTAAAATGACGTCATCGTGCAAATGACCAATTCACCTAAAACTATTGGCCACTAAACTGACTTTTCCTGAAATATCATGAAAGCATTTCATGGGCACCGTAATACTGAAGTCACGCACCGATTTACCGAACCCAAGGGTTGTAAGGAGGATGTGTAACCCGTGTAGCTTGGATAATGACATCACTAGCAAATGGTCACTTGTGTTACGGATGTGTCCACATTTCTAGTTTTTAACTGTGATATTGGACTTGCTCGCTACAGACTAGAGATTTTTGTAATTAATGTTCGCTATACTTGTCGTTCATTCTATGGCTTATTTGCACCCTTGAGTGTCCTGTCACCATAGTGAACCTGATGCTGCCGTGAGTTTTGATCTTCTTCTTCTTCTTCTTCTTCTTCGCCAGCGTCATCTGGATCTTTCTCATCCGGATCAGCTTCTTGGTCATTTTGATCATCTCCTGCATCCTCATCATCAGCTGCGGAAAACAAAAAACATCAAATAAATTTTAAATCCAAACGCATTCATGAGCATATGAATGACAAGAAACAATAAAATTATTTGCATCTCTTCAGAGACACATTTCCACCTTTTTTAACAACATAAAAATTTTTGCCAAACTGAAACTGACCGAAGCGTGGCTAAAAGATGTACTGTACTCATCACTGACGATGGACTGAATAATACTTAAAAAGCATGAACATCAGTTGTAAACTGTTGGCAGTTTTTTCTTTCATCAATGTCGAAATAAAAAGACGGTATCTACATTTCATAAGGCGAGAAAAATCTAAAATCAAGTTAACGGCCTCCCTTCTTGACAATTGCACCGGAAATAGGATACTGTGAATATTGCACTGTAATTCACTCTTTCAAACTCTGGCTGTGATCACAGCTCTAACGAAAGAGACATGGAGTAATCCTAGAAATAAATACTGAAACAACTAATCTATGAAAATGTAAGAAGCCTACCATCTGCCTGTTGTGCCTTGTGTTCCTCCTGTTGTCTCTGTACAGCTTGTATGGGAGCCACATGTTGCTGTATCTGGGCTAAATCTGCCCGCTGTGTTCTCTGTTCTTCCGCTTGTCTCAGTACAGCTTGTATGGGAGCCACATGTTGCTGTATCTGGGCTAAATCTGCCCGCTGTGTTCTGTGTTCTTCCGCTTGTCTCTGTACAGCTTGTATGGGAGCCACATGTTGCTGTACCTGGGCTGCTTCAAGTTGTCCCCGTTGTTTCTCTTGCTGCTGTTGGTGGTTTTCTCTCATTTCAGCAACTTGACTGTTGATACTGTCACGTGATATATCAGCAGCTCCATCTTCTTTACGATCCTCCTCCTCTCCCTCCTTCTCCTGTTCTTCTTCTCCTTCTTGGTCTTCCTGTTCACCTGGTCTATCAGCTACATGACCTGCCTGCACCACATGATCATTCTTCTGTTGGTCTCCCTGTTCTCCAGGTCGATCAGCCACGTGGTCTGTCTGTATGCTACGCCCATCACTTTGTCCTCCCTTTACCACAGGTTTGCCAGCCTGCATTCTATCTGCATCACTGTATTGGTTTACCACAGGCTCACCATCCTGTTTATCTTTAACCTCTTCCTCACCAAGGTGTCTCTGGTCATTATCTCCAGCAGCAACAGTCTCCTGTTTACGATAGTCATCTAATCTGCTTTTCCCTAGTTCAGTCTCTCCTGCCAATTCTTTACTAACTCCTACATTGCCTTCCTTGCGACTTTGCTCTGCTGCTTGCTGGTAAAAAAAGAAACGAGAAAAATTCATTCATCACGCAATATTTCTACGTCAGCCTCGACAGCCTTCTACCAATAAAAGTTTCAATGTGCCAGTATGTGATGAAACGAACGATGTTAAGTTTTCAGAAACAGCATCCTCAGTAAATGTGTTGGTTGAGTTAAGTATTATCTTGCACTTAACGAGGGTCAAAAATTATTTCAGATTCAGAATACAGACCCTCAGTAACGACTGCCAAACGCTCAAAATACAATCTGATATAAGGTGAAAGGACAGGTAAAATATGACAACTGGTGAATGATAAATTTATTCACACATACTGCATCATAAGAGCATTAGTCATGGTGCACTAATCTGAACAAAAACTTAAATTATTGATTTGCTTCACCTACGACCTTGTTCCCATGCTAAACAAATTTATGACAAGACTTTTATTACAGGGCTGCAAAAAGTTAGCAAATACCTTTAGTATATCAGCCCACTTGTTCATAGCATTGCCGTCACCTGGTGACACCACCTTCACTCCATGCCCTGCCTGATCTGCACCATAATTTACATTGGAGTCTTTTAGAGGAATGTCCTTCATGCTGTCATAACTCTCCTCTGCTGTGTAACCTTCCTTCACCTTTCTCTGTTCATAAACATTCTCATCAGGAGATTTCCTCATATCAGCAATATGTGCATCTTTAAGAGAAAAAAGATTCACTAATTATCAGTGTTATGTTTACCTTGGAAAGTAGCAGGATAAACAGAGACTAACAGATTACATCATAGTAAGTCAGTTGATGTGTAACCAATTGTAAACAATTATTGGATGAAGTTTTTTTCTTTACATTTACAGTTCAAGATAAGTGTTATCTGCTGAGGCAAAACACCTTAATACCAAGACCTTGATTACTCCAGATATCACAAAAACTGAATCTAATAATCTGTTTTGTTATTGATTGTTTTGAGATTAATACCAACAAACCCATTGTCACACTGAACACAGTTTATTCTCCAAACAGAGAAGACATTGTTCTTGAGAATTACGCATTATTTGGCAGACAGCCTACACATCAGTTAGTTATCTTCTCATTCCTAGCAAAATTAACTGTAGGCTCTTAGCCAATACAGAAAGCAAGTACAATATATAATAATTCAACTAGCAGGTTTGATAGTGGCAGCTGATGTACAGTATAATCTAAAGAGCAGGATTTCTAACAGATGATTAAATTTCACATAGAACTAATCATAACTTACCATTATCACTTGGCAGAGCGGCTTGCTCATTAACATCACGACGAGAGCGACCATGATGAAGTCTACTGTCATTTCTAAAGGGGACTGTGGGGCTGTATAAATCAAATTTATTAATTTATTGTTTTACAACAAATAAGACTATGTTCAGACTCTATCAGATAGTTTTTGCCCTGGCACCAAAACCATACTTTATAGGGCTACTGTTCACCTTTAAAAACAGTGATTTTGGCACAATTTCTGTAATGGGGCACAGATGCCAGGCACTGATCTCTAAAGTAGAGAGTCATATATTGGATAGGTGTTTATAGTCAAGATACAAAAAGCTATACTGTATAGTGCGAACATAGCCTAAACCATTCAAGTATGCTATCCTATGTTTAGTTATTCAATAATGCAGAGTTCTCTCCAAAACTATTCTTTGTTGTGTTGCCTCGTCATGATATTTTTGGTTTACAATTCCATACAAACCCTTTGAAACTTTTTTGGGGGGTTGGCCCAAAAAAATTTAGAGGGTTTTGTATGGAGTTATCAGTGCATAACTGGGCTAATATCTCAGAGACAATTTGGCCCGAAATGCTCATTTTTGGCCTCTTGGACGTTGTTCTTTCAGAATATCTTGACGAATCCCACAATTCAGAAATTTAATTTTATGACATCATCACTTTAGTACTCTGCTGTTGGAGGAAGTTTACTAGGAGCGAGACATAAACAGGGTCTAACAGATCATGTCTGAAACCAACTTTATTTTCAATCTGCCAACAACTACATGTAACAATTTTGTCATAATTTTTGAGTCACAATGCTAACAACTAAGTTTTACCAGTAACTGTATATTCCATGAGGTTTTACTTGGTTAGTTAGTCATCCAGTCAGTCAGTCAGTTAGTTACATTAGTTAATTAGTTAGGCATAATTATAATTACTTTTCTGTTTCCTTTTGCGGGCCTTCTTGTCCATCTTTACTTTTTATTGTCCTCGGACTCAAAGCATCTATAAAAGATATAGAAATACACAATTCCTATGAAACAGTGATTTAAAAGGCCCATGGAGAGTTCTGTAGGTACAGCGAGAGAAATCTTAACACCTCAAACATATAATAAAATGACAAGATCAGACTTGCAGTAAAATGGCGATAAATTAACGCTAGACTATGTATCATTGGTAGTCTTTACACTAGAGCCTAAATAAGCTAAGAAATATTTCAAGACAAGTAAAATTAAAAATTCTTCAAGTAAAAGGAAGCTTCACACACACAACCATTTCTTTTTTACTTCAGGTTAACTTTTTTTTAAGGCTATTTTCCCATGCATCATACATGTAATTAAGATTGATTGACATGATTCACCTTTCTCAAAGCTCGAGAAACCGCAACTTTGCTAAGTCGTTTTAAGGATGGTTTTTAAGTCACTTGAAACTTTCTTGAATCGTTTCAACTTTCCGACTTTAATGAGATGCAAAGTAAAATAACTTGAGATTTTACTTGGGCCTTCACACACATATTTTTGGCTAAGTAAAACTTAGCAGCTCTTAAGTCTTACTTAACGGCCTTAAGTGTAAAGACAGCCATTGTCATTTTGTTAAGTAATTCTAGAAAGGAAATAAAGAGAGATGTAAAGAATCAACCATAAGAGGACACAGAAAAAATCTGGGGCTCAGATTTTTTCTGTGTCCTCTTATGGTTGATTCTTTACAATTCTAGAAAGGCACTATAAAGTGACAGAATCTATCCACCTTACCTTGAAGCTTGCTTTCTCCTTGTTCCCTCTTTTTGTCAAGTTTCATGTCTCTGTGAGATGTTTTAGACTTGCTAATATAGCTGTTAAGCTTCTCCTGGGCAATAAAACAGAAACAATACAGTATTATTATGGTACGGACAAAGTATTCTCATGAATTCACATAGGATACCAGTATACCTGACTGAAAAAATGTTATTGCTTGAAAAGTATAATGTATATGAACAATGGGACATAGTGGATTATAGGTAGAACTTAATTAGCATTGCAAATTTAAGTTTCTTTCCAGAAAAGTTTAGGTCATCGAAGCTTTTTGCAACGGTGTATTTCAGAAAAGGTCATGGTTTCCAGTTTTCTTGCCGATAAGGTCACAACTTCACCTGCGCTGGGCACATCAGAAATCTCTACAGAGTGTAGCCATACTGCTGAGGCACAATAAAATTGAAAATTATACGATAGGACCTAGAAGCTTACTTGGAAGACAATAAAAAGACACCACCATGTAGCCTTAAACAAAGTACTCTAGGGATTTGCATCCACATGAGCAGCTTGTGACAATATACTTTTGAAGCAACAAAGTTTTTTCAATCAGGTATATACACTGTATACCAGGGCTGAGTATTACTGCAGCAAATTTTTAATGAAGGTACACTGCACATACTTGATATCTTGAAAGCTGACCCTGAAGATCCTTGAGTTTCTCCTGGTATTGCTGACTTGCAGCTACTGCTCTAGAACTGGAATGCTAACAAAAAAGAATGTAAAATGTAAACACATTATGTTTCTCTGATCCAGTGCTTTCCCATCATTGAGTTGCATTTCACCCCATTTAACTACAAGCCATTCCTCCATTCCAGTGAATAAAGACATCAACTCAAAAGTCTTGGGTGACAAAACACAATCATGACTTGTAAGAAACTGCCCATAAAGCCTCGACCAAGTTTCATATCTTCCAAGCAGACAATAGAAATTGTACTAACATAATAAATTATGCTGATTCAACACCCTTGTGTATCCATACTTCTAAAAACATGTTTCTTTCGTTTGCTTTCGTTTTTACCAAATTCAGTAATTGAATAAGTAACAGATCTCAAGGAACACACCTTATATTGCTCAACTTCATCCGACTTGGACCTGAGATTTGTCCTGAGTGATACAACTTGTTGTTTCAATGTCCTGATTTCCTCTTTAAAGTACACATAGAACAAAATAAACACACTTTGTTAAGCTATGTCAAATTGTACTGATATGGTTTATTGTATTTTTATCTTACATGCCCCACAAAATTTACTGATATAGTCATAATTAATTTATTATTGTAATTCCAAAAGCTGATGTCTTCTTTGTTATTAAACTCAACACAGGAGTCAAAATTCTGACATTCCTACCTTCAAGGGATGATATTTCATTAGCTTTCTGTTCTTTAAATAACTGAAAATTCCTGTTTTGCTGATTAGTCACTGAAGCGTGCTCTGCACTAAGGCGACTGTAGGTTTGTTGAAGGCGACCATAATCTGTATCAAGCTCTTTGGATTGTGCCTGAGGCAAATAAAATGAAATGGATACAGAGTAACAATCTCCTACTCACAGTTAAGCAGATGTATGACTTTATATCCCTAAACAAGGCCTGTGATGTTATGCAACTGCATAATTTGGGTACATTCAAATGACAGTTGCAGTTTGGATGCTACTTAAGCAGCAAATCAGATGGTTGTTCTTCCCTTTTTCTTTAGGAGGCAAGGGGGATTTTTTTGTCATATCAGTTACCCATTTATTTGAAACAACTCTTGCTGAAGAAACAGAAGGCTCTGTGAATTCATTTTTTAGGGTCTTATACAGGATCCTGTCCACTTCATAGAATCTTATACAGGATCCTGCCAATCTCATAGGATCTTAGACAGGATCCTGCCCACTTCATAGGATCTTATACAGGTTCCTGCCCACCTCATAGGATCTTACACAGGATCCTCTCCACTAAATAGGATCTAAACACAGGATCCTACCCACCTATAGGATCTTATGATTTTATCTTAAACAAGATTCTTTATATTATTAAAAGGAGATTCAAGATTTCATTTATCTCTTGCAATTAATGCCTTTTATTGTTTTAAAGAAATCAATCAAAAAAATATTACAAGAAGAAAAGAAGTAAATTTGTAAATTGTAAATTTGTCTACCCACCGAGCCCTAAGGAGTTCATAACAACTCATTGAAAAGTGTCCCTGCGTTCCAGATCGAATTGGAATTTGAAAGTATGGGTTTTTAAGCAGAGGGGAAAACCGGAGTACCCAGAGAAAAACCTCTTGAAGCAAGGGAGAGAACCAACAACAAACTCAACCCACATATGGCATTGATGCCAGGATTCGAACTCGGGCCACATTAGTTGGAGGCAAGTGCTTTCACCACTACGCCACCCTTGCTCCCCAAGTAAGAAGAATAGCTTTTTGCCTACCACTATGAAAACTATATTTTGCCAAAAAATGTCCAAGTACATACCTTAAGCATATTATACTGTGTTTCTAATGAATTAAATCTGTTCATTGCTTCATGCTGAAATTAAGCAACATTAATTCTTTTGTTAAGAAGAATTACTAATTTATATGACAGGTAAGGACGGAAAAAAAAATAGGTCAAAATTTCTATCATGGTTTGACGTAAACAATCACCTTTGATCTGGTAATATTCAAAAGAAAATCATTCTGCTTTTTGGAAAATTCTGTAAAACAT